TTAAAGGTGAGATCATATGGTATTTGTCCTTCAATGCCTGGCCTATTTCACTCAGCATAATGCTTTCCAGTTCCATTCATGTCGTTGCAAAGGGTAGTAGCTCCTTCTTTCTCTCTGCTGCATAGAATTCCATTGTGTATATGTACCACAATTTTTTGATCCATTCGTTTACTGACAGGCACCTAGGTTGTTCCCAACTCTTGGCTATTGTAAAAGGTGCTGCTATGAACATTGTGGTGCATAGGTTCTTTGAAATTGATGTTTTAGGATTCTTGGGATATAATCCTAGCAGTGGAATTACTGGGTCAAAAGGCAGGTCAATTTTTATTTTTCTGAGAAAATTCCATACTGTTTTCCATAATGGTTGTACCAGTCTGCAATCCCACCAACAGTGAACTAAGGACCCCTTTTCCCCACAACCTCTCCAACATTTGTTGTTTGTTGCTTTGTTTATGATAGCCATCCTGACTGGTGTAAAGTGGTATCTCATTGTGGTGTTCATTTGCATCTCTCTGATAGCTAACGATATTGAGCATCTCTTCATGTGTCTCTGGATATTCTGTATGTTCTCCTTGGAGAAGTGTTTGTTCAAGTCCTTTGCCCATTTTTTAATTGGGTTAGTTGTCTTCTTAGAGTGGAGTCTTGTAAGTTCTTTGTATATTTTGGAGATTAAACCTTTGTCTGAGGTATCATTGGCAAATATGTTTTCCCATACAGTTGGTTGTCTTTTTAATTTAATACTGTTTTCTTTAGCCACGCAGAAGCTTTTTATTTTGATGAGATGCCATTTGTTTATTCTTTCCTTTATATTCCTTGCTCTAGGGGACATATCAGTAAAAAAGTTGCTGCGTGAAATATCTGATATTTTCTTGCCAATATTCTCCTCTAGGACTTTAATGGTGTCACGGCATATATTTAAGTCTTTTATCCACCTTGAATTTATTTTGGTGTATGGTGTAAATTGGTGCTCAAGTTTCATTTTTTTTGCATGTAGCTGTCTAGTTCTCCCAACACCACTTATTGAAGAGACTATCTTTACTCCATTTTATGTTACTGCTCTCTTTGTCGAATATTAATTGACTGTAGACAGTTGGGTTAATTTCTGGGCTCTCCATTTTGTTCCACTGGTCTATGTGCCTGTTTTTATGCCAGTACCAGGCTGTTTTGATCACACTGGCCTTGTAATACAGTTTGGTATACAGGTATTCTGATCCCTCCTACTTTGTTCTTTCTCAAAAGTGCAGCTGCTATTCGGGGTCGTTTATGCTTCCATATAAATTTTTGAAGTGTTTGTTCTATGTTTGTGAAATATGCCATTGGTACTTTAATAGGTATTGCACTGAATCTGTATATTGCTTTGGGTAGTATGGAAATTTTGATGATGTTAATTCTTCCAATCCATGAACACAGTATATGTTTCCATTTGTTTGTGTCTTCCTTGATTTCTTTCTTCAGTGTTGTGTAGTTTTCTGCATATAGGTCTTTTACCTCCTTGGTTAGGTTTATTCCCAGATATTTTATTTTTCTTTTTGCTATATCGAATGGGATTTTTTCCTTGATTTCTGCTTCTGCTGATTCATTGTTGGTATACAAAAATGCCTTTGATTTCTGGATATTGACTTTGTATCCTGTTGTTTTGCCAAATTCATTAATTAATTCAAGCAGTTTTCGGGTAGAGTCTATAGGATTTTCCATGTACACTATCATGTCATCTGCAAACAGTGACAGTTTTGCTTCCTCCTTTCCCATTTGGATGCCTTTTATTTCCTTTTCCTGCCTGATTGCTGTGGCCAAAACTTCCAATACTATATTGAATAGAAGTGGTGAAAGTGGACATCCTTGTGTTTTTCCTGATCTTAATGGAAAAACTTTTAGTTTTTGCCCATTGAGTATGATGTTGGCTGTAGGTCTCTCATATATGGCCTTTATTATATTGAGGAATGCTCCCTCTATTCCCACTTTGCTGAGTGTTTTTGGTCATAAATGGGTGTTGTACCTTATCAAAAGCTTTTTCCACATCTATTGATATGATCATGTGGTTTTGTCTTTGCTTTTGTTTATGTGATGTATTACATTTACTGATTTGTGAATATTGAACCATCCTTGCATCCCTGGAATAAATCCCACTTGGTCATAGTCGATGATCTTTTTGATATGTTGTTGGATGCGATTTGCCAATATTTTGTTGAGGATTTTAGCATGTATATTGATCAGAGATATTGGCCTGAAGTTTTCTTTCTTTGTTGTGTCTTTATCTGGTTTTGGGATTAGAGTGATGCTTGCTTCATAAACAGAGTTAGGGATTCTTCCATCATTTTGGATTTTTTTTAATAGTCTGTGAAGAATAGGGGTTAGCTCTTTCTTAAATGCTTTGTAGAATTCTCCTGTGAAACCATCTGGTCCAGGGCTTTTGTGTGATGGGAGTTTTTTTTGTTACTGCTTCAATTTATTTTGCTGTTATTGGTGTGTTTAGATTTTCTGCTTCTTTTTCATTGAGTTTTGGAAGATTGTATTTTTCTAGAAATGTGTCCATTTCCCCTAGGTTCAAATTTCTTGGCATACAGTTCTTCATAGTAATTTCTTACAATCCCTTCTATTTCTGTGGTATCAGTTGTAATCTCTCCTCTTTCATTTCTGATTGTGTTTATTTGTGTCCTATCTCTTTTTTCTTGATTAGCCTACTTAAAGGCTTGTCTATTTTACTTATCTTCTCAATGAAACAACTCCTGGATTTATTGGTCCTTAGAATTGTGCTTTTAGTTTCTATGTCATTTAATTCTGCTCTAATCTTGGTTATTTCCTTCCTTCTGCTTGCTCTGGGCTATCTTTGTTGTTGTTCCTCGAGTTCTTGCAGGCGTAGGGTTAGGTTGTTTGTTTGAAATGTTTTTATCTTCTTTAGGTAGGCCTGTATTGCTATAAACTTCCCTCTCAAGACTGCCTTCATTGAGTCCCATAAGTTTTGGGTTGTTGTGAGATCATTTTCATTTGTTTCCAGAAACGTTTTGATTTCTTCCCTAATTTCATTCTGGACCCACTCGTTGTTTAATAGCATACCGTTCAGTCTCCATGATTTTGGGTGCTTTGGGTTTTTTTCTTTGGGGTTGGTTTCCAATTTCAGTCCCTTGTGGTCAGAGAAGATGCTTGGTATGATTTCAATATTGTTGAATTTGTTGAGGCTCATTTTGTGGCCTATCATGTGGTCTATCTTTGAAAATGTTCCATGTGCATTTGAAAATAATGTGTATTTAGCTTCTTTGGGATGAAGGGCTTTATATATATATATCAGTTAAGTCCATTTCATCTAGGGTGTCGTTTAATGCCACAATATCTTTGTTGATAATTTGTTTGGAAGATCTGTCCATTTTTGATAGTGGGGTGTTAAAATCCACTACTATAATTGTGTTGCTGTCAATATCTTTCTTGAAGTCCTCTAAGATTTTCTTGATATATTTGGGTGCCCCTATGTTTGGTGCATATATGTTTACAGTATTAATGTCTTCTTGGTGGATTCTTCCCTTGAGTATAATGAAGTGACCTTCTGGGTCTTTCTTTATGGCCCTTTTTTTGAAGTCTATTTTGTCAGATATGAGAATTGCTACCCCAGCTTTTTTTTCTTGTCCGTTTGCTTGGAAAACTTGTTTCCAGCCTTTCACTTTTAGTCTGTGATGGTCTTTTGTCCTGAGGTGGGTCTCTTGTAGGCAGCATATGTGTGGGCCATGCTTTTGTATCCATTCAGCTATTCTGTGTCCTTTGATTGGAGCATTTAATCCATTTATGTTTAAGGTTATTATTGATAGGTACTTATTCATTGCCATTTTGTTCCTGTGTTCCTCTCTGTCTCCCTCTTATCCTTCCTTTCCTTAAAGCAGTCCTTTTAGTATTTCTTGTACAACTGGTTTGGTGGAGGCATATTCTTTTAGGCTTCTTTTGTCTTGGAAGCTCTTTATTTGGCCATCTCTCTTGATTGAGAGCCTTTCTGGGTAAAGTAGCCTTGGTTGTAGGCCTCTGGTTCTCATTACTTGGAATATTTCTTGCCATTCTCTTCTTGCTTGAAGTGTTTCCATTGAGAAGTCAGTAGCTAACCTTATTGGGGCTCCCTTGTATGTTACTTCTTTTTTGTCCTTTGCTGCCTTTAAGATTCTCTCTTTGTCTTTAAATTTTGCCATTTTGATGATGATGTGTCTTGAAGTGGGCCTCCTTGGGTTCCTCTTGGTTGGGACTCTTGTGCTTCCTGGATTTGTGTGACTTTTTCTCTCGTCAAATTAGGGAAATTTCCTCTCATTACTCTTTCAAATACGTTTTCTATCCCTTGTTCTTCTTCTTCTCCTTCTGGTATTCATATTATTTGGATATTATTACATTTCATATTGTCTTGCATTTCTCTTAATCCCTCTTCATTCTTTCTGAGCCTCTTTTCATTTTCTTGTTCTTTCTGTGAGATGCTTTCTACTTTGTCCTACAACTCGCTAATCCTATCCTTTGCCTCATCTATCCTACTTTTGAAACTTTCTACTGTGATCTTTAATTCGGAAATTGTATTCTTCATTTCCTCTTGTCCCTTGCTGATATTTTTTATTTTCTTTTTCATGTCGATGTAGTTTGCAGAGAGATCATTGTAGTTCCCCTGTAGTGTCTGATAGCTCATTGTGAGCTCTTTGAACTTCATAATAACAAGTGCTTTGAATTCACTATCTGATAGTTGATTAGCCTTTATTTAATCTAACATTCTTTCTGAAGTTTCTGCTTTTTCTTTCATTTGGGGGATTATTTCCTTGTCTTCCCATTGTTTGAGACTCTTCTTGTTAGTCTCAGCTTCTAAAATTGATCTATTCTGACACCCTGGGTTTATGGTATGAACTTCTGTGGTGTGATACCTGTGAAGTTCAGTGGTGCAGACTCCAACAGGTATCTTGATGTTCTCCATCTCCACCTACTCTCAAGCTGTTCCTCAGGCTGGTCCCCCCACTGGTCACCTACCACTGCTGAGTGTGCCGGCTCAATTAGCCGACTTCTCCAGTGCCCAGATCCATTGCTACAGCAGCGGCACAGGGGCTGATAATGTCCTGGCTCCAGTAGCTGATTCCTCCGGTGCCCAGGCCTGTCACAGGGGTTTGGAGTGTCCGGCTCCCATAGCTGACTTCCCAGCGCCCAGGCCTGTCTCTGTTGTTGCTGCACAGGGGCCTCCAGTGTCCCGGCTACCTACCTGACTCTCTGGCGTCCAGTCCTGTTGCTATGGTGATGGCATGGGGGCTAAGAATGTCCTGGCTCCAGTAGCTGATTCCTCTTGCATCCAGGACCATCACAGGGGCTTGGAGTGTCCGGTTCTCGTACCTGACTCCCAGACTCCCAGGCCTGTTGCTATGGTGGCGGCACAGGGCCGCGTGTGTCACAGCTCTCGTAGCTGACTCTGCCGCTCTCTGGTGTTTCAGTGTTGGTCACAATCTCTGGTATTTTAATTTCATAAATGGTGGGTAACTGATGGTTTATTGTGCTGTTTCTCTATACATCTGCCAGGATTTTCACCCATGAGTACAGGAGCTAGAATTTGCTCCATTCTACTCTGTCGCCATCTTCCTAGCATCCCCTCTTCCCTACTTTCAATCTTACTTGATTTAAATTATAATAGAGAAAAGTATTTTCTGTGTTGACCTAGAATTTTTTATAACTAAAGAACATTTATTTATTTTGCACTAAGACTTTATCTTAGGACATAAGTAAATGTGTCACCACCCTCCCACCCAACTTGAAGGAGGGTTAGTACAGTGAGTCTTATAAAGCAGATATGAATATTAACTGACAAGGAAAAACCCTTCAAAATTATCATAACAATGTTTACGTAAAAAGAAGAAAGAAAAAATAGGGGGTTGATGGGAGTTTCAAATTGAACAAAATCCTCACACTTCATCTAACACATTCAATCCTGACTAGAGTGTACCAAAATGGAAAAAGGATTACTATAATATAAAACTTCCACTACAGATTGCTGTACACACTTGTGTTCCAAGCCCACTCCCAATGCCTAATCCTTCCAGCACAATTATTTCCCTGGCCTGCTGGTGAAGAAGCAAGTAGATCTTCTCTTTAATCCAGTCTTTGTGATAGGGCTGGTAGATCTGGGTATCAGCTTGGTAAATAAGACAGCTGAGGTCTGCCAGATCATCAGTAAAATCAAACACCTGGCTGATATCATATCTGATATAGGGGCTGTTGGACTTCATTTTCTTCAGATGTTCTTCATACCTTTTACAAATGCCTTCCATGCATTCATTCACTGATTCATAGTCAGCATAAGTTCTGCCTTCTGTCCTCTTTGTAGGCTGTACCAGTAAAATGTGAGGCATTTTGCCAAACTCTCTCACTGTAGCCCATTGCCAACACCATCACCTCACATGAGCTTAACCACAATGTGGCCAACAACCAACCCCATGTAGGTCAGATGAGCCACCTGTCCTAGAATTTTTAAATATTACCACTAGCATTTAGATCACACCCATGTGAGTTTGCAAGACAGTGACCAGGCTTACCAAATAGAAAATTAGGCCCATTCATCACTGAAGAGCATAGGTTTATACTTTCGTCCCTTTGAACTGATTCTTACACAAGAGTACACCTGCTGCATTTACCAGGATCCTTTGGTACACTCACCCTGTCAGGGAGAGGGTAAATGCAAAGGTCTTAAAAATAAATAGGCCTTAAAAAGAGGTCCTGGACAACTAAATGTTGTCCCACTCATTCTTTTTCTCCCTCCCACTCATCCTTTGTGGTGCTAGGCTCATAACTGGCATTGGAGACCCAGCAAACAGAACCAAGCATCTATCTCTAATCTAGTAGGGGGGATCAGAGATGGAAGCTGTGGCAGGCCTTCTTTTTTGGAGGAGTGTTGCAGGCCAAGGGTTCAAGGACACTGCTTCCTATCTGCAGATGGATGATACAGGCAGGCCCAGCAGGGGAAGGCTGGGTGGCAGGTGCCAAGCCTGGAAAGCATGCACCAAGCCCGGGGAGCATGTGCCATTCAGGGTGATGGGATTCTCTATTTGGGGAGATGGGGCCCTTCATTCAGGAATATGAGGTAGCTATTTAGGGAGATGGGGTGTCCAGTAGTTTTCCATACCTTTGGGATTCTGAGAATCTTATGTGAAAATAGCGAAGGCCAGGGCCTAATCGAGGATCCTGTGATACGAAGATAACTTACTTTTATACAATAGCTAATTCTTTAACTAAACATCCAAAGATGATTTCTCTTAGCAGGGCCCTGATAATTGCTACAAAATGATAGCTCGTGGCAAGAAGCCCAGGGCCCACGGAAACCCCCCAACTCCCAGTGCAGGTTTCTGAGAACTGAGAACCGTGGATCCAGGGAGTGTAAGCAGCTACTACAGAACACAGTGGGGGTGGCAGTAATGGGGACCAGGAAGGTCAGCTTACTGTGGGACATGGGCTTAGTGCCAAGATTAGGGGTTGCGAGTGGACCCAGAGCACCATATGCCTTAGCAGGTATGTGCCAGGGCTTAGATTCCCTAATTAGGGTAAAAACACTGTCTCTGAGGTGGGTTATAGGCAAGTGAATCACAAAGAACCATAGGCCCTGAGAAGATGAATAGCTGTGGATAAGTGACGGGTGGAGATGTCCTCCACAATGGACATGGCTATGAAGGACAGGCCCTTGGGTAGTTTCTTATAAAGAGCAGAGGTCTCTTGGCCCAAATCAGTGCTCCTTCTTGGGACAAAAAGAAGGAGCCCTCTTCTCCTCAAAGGCTGAATGAGTTACCAGGACCTGAGATCAAAGGTTACCAAAATAGCCTGGGCCAGAAAGGATGTGGTCACCTATAATGAACAGGGTAGGTGGAAGCCAAGGCCAGACTGCACCTGCAGTCTCGGACCTTGCGGTGACTCACAAACTCTTCAGGTGTTCCTGAGGTGAGCCAGCAGAAAGGAGGAGGGTAAAGCCCTAGACTGATGGTTTGGAAAATCCATTCTTCATAATGACGAGGAATATGTCTTACTTTATCGGCCTTGATTTTCAGTGAAGGGAGAATAGTTATTGGCAGTTACTGGGAAGAATATTTTCTTAATGTTAAAAAGTATAAGAAAGGAATGTTATCTTGAATATATTAATTAATATGGCTACTATTTTGTTTCAAGTTTTCAGGCATTTGTGATTTTTTTTACCAAGAGAAAATAACCAAATTTAATACATACATATGTATGGGAACCCCACATACTTGAAAACACCAGAGAACCCACATGCAGGAGAGGTTCAGAGACAGAAAGAGGTGTGAGGTATATAAAACATCCTGAGCTAGGGGTGAGGTAAGGTGCACTAGGGATTTCAAAGGGTCCTTGCAGGATGAAAAGAAGAGCAGACCTTTAGCAAACAGAAATTTGCCTTGCCCTACAGATAATAGTGAAAGGGACAGGCCAAAGTTTCTCCTGAGCCTGAAGCTACAATTGCCTTTAGCTCAAAGTAATCTGCGTACCTCAGAGGCACATCTTTAGGTATCTCATTCTGAACCCCCATAGTTCCCGTACCTGAAACTTCCTTGGACTTCACATTCCAAAAAGAAGCCTGATAGACCATTCTATTATTAAGCCAGTCTCAGTCTTGAGAGAAAAGTTAAGCTTGCTTCAACAGCTGTGTTTCATTTCAGGAGGTGGTGATGCCTGTGGGCTCCCAAAGTTAAGTCTATGGAGCAAACAACCAAGTATTCAATAGGAAGTGAAGGGATCAAAGTTTTGCCATCCTGAAGCTGCCTTTTGGGGATATTGATTTTAAGTTGTTTATTAAGGAACAGAGCTCAGAAGTAAACATTCACCCTCTCCCTCTTTCCTGCCCCCAAAATTCAGGAGAAAACAATTTCAGGAAAAAGGTCATAGGATATTCTCCTTAGCTTAAACCAAATTAAATATGTTAAAAAAGAGGGCTTCAGGCAGTGGTCTGTTGGATAGATACACCCTGTGTCCCACTGCTTCTTAGTTGCCTAGCAAAGATTTTCCTTTCATATATGTTTTGTTCTTCCTTAACTACCTGTAAACCAGCCACTCTCACTTATGAAATCTAAGTCACATCTCACTTCTTCGCCTCAAAATGTCCTATGTATTCAAATTTGCCTCACTGTCTTTGGAATTTTCATGTACTTATCATGCCTATGTGGATTCCATGTGTACATTCACTAAACTTTGATTTTCTCCTGCTAATCTCTCTCAGTTAATTTGATAATTAGCCTGGTGTAAGGACTTAGACAGTGGGAAAAAAATTAATATATTTTTTAGTGTCCACAGAGGTATCTCTATAGAAACAAAAGAAAAACGAAGGTTACCATTATTCTAGTTTTTGAATTTTGAAGGCATGCATCAAAAAGATTTCAAGATGTTTGTCTTCAATCATCTTCAGATAGAGTCAAGGCTAGCTAGATTCTCCTGGTATGCAGTTTGAAAATCTGTGGTGATCCTTCTATAGAAGGCATGGAGTTTGTGGATAGATGAGCTTTTGTGATTTCTCTGCAGTCCCCATCATGGAATCCCAACTTAGCTTGCATGACCTTGGGAAAGAGGCAGTTTTAGTTCCAAATAATTCCAAGTTAATGAATAGTGAAATGAAAATGTTAGTTTGGAGGGTTCAGCCAAATATTTAAGAAAACTAGAGAAATTCAGGATGCAGTCTACCTTATAGGTACAAAATTTAAAAACAAAGACAACAAATGACACTACAAGCTCACATCCCCACAAATATTGTTGGGGCTAAAAAGTATTAATACTTTTCTTCCCACCTTCTAAGTTCTTCCAGCTAAGCCAATAATCAAAATTAAGAAACAGATAAACAGGAGTAAATAAAAGTTTTAATACATGTGCATGGGGAATTTATATAAATATGACAATGCCAAAAATAGTGAGACAGAAAAAAGGAATCCTCAGAAAGAATCTAAATGAAATAGAGGCAACTCAACTATCAAATATTGAGTCCAAAGCAGTGGTTATCAGGAAACTCAATGAGCTCACAGTGAATTACCAGAAAATACAGGGAAACTACAATGAACTCATTGCAAAGTATATCAACATGAAAAAGGAAATAGAAACTGTCAACAAGGGCTAAGAGAAAATGAAGAATACAATTTCTGAATTGTAGAACACAGTAGAAGGAATCAAAAGAAGGCTAGATGAATCAGAAGATCAGATCAGTGAGCTGAAGGACAAAGTATAAAAAAAACACCCAGAAAGAGCAAGAAAAGGAAAAGAGTTTCAGAAAGAATGAAGAGGGATTAAGAGACATACAACACAATATGAAACATAATAATATCCAAATAATAGGGATACCAGAAGGAGAAGACAAAGAAAAAAGGATAGAAAACCTATTTGAAAAAGTAACGATGAAAAACTTCCATAATTTGATGAGAGAAAAAGTCACACAAATCTAGGAAACACAGAGTCCCGATCATGAGCAACCCAAAGAGGCCCACTTCAAGATGCATCATAATAAAAATAGCAAAATTCCAAGACAAAGAGAGAATCTTAAAGACACCAAGGAACAAACAGGAAGTAACATACAAGGGAACCCCGATAAGGTTAGCAACTGACTTCTCAATGGAAATGCTCCAAGCCAGAAGAGAATGGCAAGAAATATTCCAGGTAGTGAGAACCACAGGCCTGAAACCAAGGCTACTTTATCAGCAAGGCTCTCAATCAATATACAAGGCCAAATAAGAACCTTCCCAGACAAAAGAAGTCTAAAAGAATAGACCTTCTCAAACTAGCTCTGCAAGAGATGCTAAAGGGACTGACTGCTTTAAGGAAAGGAGAGAAAGAGAGAAAGAGAGAGAGAGAGAGAGAGAGAGAGAGAGAGAGGAACTCGGGTACGAAAATGGCAATGAATAAGTACCTATCAATAATAACCTTAAATGTAACTGGACTAAATGCTCCAATCAAAAGACATAGAATAGCTGAATGGATAAGAAAGCATGACCCACACATATGCTGCTACAGGAGACCCACCTCAGGACAAAAGTCCTATACAGACTGAAAGTGAAGGGCTAGAAACAAATTTCCCAAGCAAACAGACAGGGGGAAAAAAAGCTGGGGTAGCGATACTCATATCAGACAAAATAGATTGAAAAAAAAAAGGGCCATAAAGAGATACCCAGAAAGTAACTTCATAATACTCAAGGGAAGAATCCATCAAGAAGACATAAACATTATAAATATATACGCACCAACATAAGAGCACACAAATATATAATGAAAATCTCAGAGGACTTCAAGAAAGATATTGACAGCAACACAATTTTACTAGGAAATTTTAACACTCCACTGTCAAAATTAGAAAGATTTCCCAAACAAAATATCAACA